AGGGTTTAGGGTTTAGGGTTCAGGGTTTAGGGTTTAGGGTTTAGGGTTTAGGGTTTAGGGTTACTGAAGTCCTCTTCACGTGTGGTGATGGGATGGCTTGGGCTGACGACGACCCCTGGGGCACCATCCTGCTGCAGTCGAGCCTGCAAGTCACGAGCAGCCAGCTCTCTTCAGGGCCCCTCACGGACTCTTGGCTTTCTTCTGGCTGGCTCTTAGGACTTTAACTTGTTTGTTTTTTTTGTAGAATCTACTAGAAGAAGCCTAAAAGTTGAACTTTTTGGAGGGGTTCAGAAGTCAGCCAAGGACTCGATCCATTCCTCGAGCTTCTCACAGTCAGTGGTACCGATCAGTAGCACTCTGATCTTGGCGGTTATCGCCTTCTGCCTCTTCATACTGGTGCACGAGCTCTGCGTGGCTGCAGGTGCCACCCCACTCCTTGCAAGTCGTGATGGTCGGAGCTCGGTGCTTCTTCAAAGCGCCTTCTTGGTTTCTTGGTTTTCGCCTTTCATCATAAACTCCATGATTATCCCCATTTCTTTGGATTTTGCTCTCGCCATGGGGCAGTCCGCCACGGCCAGTGGAGTCCTCATTGGTGCGATGCCTGTAGGCGCCTTGCTGGGCACCCTCATCGGAAGGCGGCTAACCAACGAAGCAGACTGGAACCAGCGCTATGCCCGTCAGTGCTTCATCATTCCTTATGGGTTCTACGCCCTGTGTATGCCTCCTCTTGCATTGCTTATCCAGTCTTCGGCAGGCTGGAGCACGTCAGCAAAGCCGGCAGCGTACTGGTTGGTGGTCACCCTGTTTTTCGCTACCACAGTAGCGGGCAACGTGCCGATGATTCCATGGATGCTCATGTGGAACATCATCACGCCGCAGCAAGAGAAGACGTTTTGGTCAGTCATGAGACTTGCTGAACAGATCCCTACACCCTAAACCCTAAACCCTAAACCCTAAACCCTAAACCCTAAACCCTAAACCCTAAACCCTAAACCCTAAACCCTAAACCCTAAACCCTAAACCCTAACCCCCATTTACTTGTTGATTTACTTTGCTTGCTTGGCTTTGGGACTCGGTAGGAAACCGTTTACTATTTTCCAGGGCTAACCTTTTAGAGCTAGGGTATTCAGCCCCTAAGTTAAAACAAAGCCACGGGTTCAGGGTTTAGGGTTTAGGGTTTAGGGTTTAGGGTTTAGGGTTTAGGGTTTAGGGTTTAGGGTTTAGGGTTTAGGGTTTAGGGTTTAGGGTTTCACCCACTGTGTGCTCAAGAGACATGAGGTGTCAGTGTGCCAAGAGCTGTGGCTTCATCGCAGGCCCAGCGTGCTTTGCCCTCCTGAGCCGTTGTGTGAGCAGGGCGGCTGGCAACACTATGTCACAGGCTGTTTCTCCCATCAGCATGATGAGCCTTTGGCAGTCGAGACCCTAAACCCTAAGCCCTAAACCGAGCAAGCATCCCCACTGCCCTTTTCAAGATTTAGGGTTTAGGGTTTAAGGTTTTCCTTTCAACCCAACGAGAGATTTTCCAAGGAGTTGGGTATTCATGGGGATATTCCTCGTCCAGGCCGTTGAGATCAGCTGTGCATCGATGATCTTCCCCACCACGGTGACTAGGACCCAGAGGAGGCCCTTATTCCGTTTTTACAGGAGGGTTTAGGGTTTAGGGTTTGGGGTTTAGGGTTTTGGGTTCAGCTTCTCTTGGAAGCCCGTGTAAACCTAGAAAGGGCACCTTTTTTTTCCTAGGTTACTCTTGGGTTTAGGTGAGCAGTGTCGAGACGGAGGGCACGGACACAACACTGGAAGACTCCGCAGATGTTCAACCCGAGAAGCTTCCAGACGCTTCGCGTGAGGAGATTGTGTGGCACATGGTGTCCTACTCCTACGAACGAGCCTTTGTCATAGTTGGGTAACATCTTACCTTTTTAAGGGTACTTAAACCCAATAAGGAATAGTCATTTTTAACTTTTTATATGATCCCAACCATGATCTAGGAGCGTTCACCATGAGCGCCATCGAAGTGGCCACCATCATGCTCTTGGAGGTTTCCTACGGATGGCCTCCAGAGATGACTGGGTTGTCCTTCGTGGTCATAGCGGCAGGTACTTGGGATCATGGTGCACTTATGACTGCAACCAATTCGAACTGTACTTATTCAACTGTACTTGTATAACTGTAGACTTCTAACCTCTATTAGGGCACCTCGAGGGGCTTATAAGCAGGTTAGAAGTGCATTTCTACTTGGTTTACTTAGTACCATGAACCTCTCAGGGAGCGGCCTCGTCACTGCAACCTCCGCCTGGGCCATGACACAAAAGCTCATCTCCGAAGCCACTGCCTTTGTGGTCCTGGCCTTCCTGGGGCTTTGCGGCTCCCTGCTCTTCTTCGACTTTGGCTTCTAGGACCCAGAGAATAGGCCCTTCTTCGCTTTTTTGTTACGGGCTTAGGTTCCCTTAGAAGCCCCCTCTAAAGCCAAAAAGGGCGCCCTTGTGTTTTTCCTAGTGGTTACTCCTGGGTGTAAGATAGGGGTCGGAATAGTTGCTAACAGTATACCCTTAGCGTCCCTTTATCGTTATACTATAATAGCCCCCAAAGCCTTATTCTAACTCTTCAGGCCCCTATAGTAGCCCTAAACCCTAAACCCTAAACCCTAAACCCTAAACCCTAAACCCTAAACCCTAAACCCCCTATAGTAGGCTTCTTTGGCGCCGGCAGCCTGCTGCTCGCTGACGTCATCGTCTACGGCGCAGCCAGCGTCGCCAACGGCATCGGGGAAGGATGGGCTTGCCGAGCCGCCAAGAAGCTTGGTAGCTCAGTGTTGTGCCCTTTGGCCTTTTTTGTTGGTTTAGGGTTTAGGGTTTGGGTTTAGGGTTTAGGGTTTAGGGTTTAGGGTTCAGGGTTTAGGGTTCAGGGTTCAGGGTTCAGGGTTCAGGGTTTAGGGTTTAGGGTTTAGGGTTTAGGGTTTAGGACCCTTGTAAAGTAACCAGCCCCCAAAGAAGGGTGCCCTTATTGTAACATGGTTGCGGGGCTACCAAGGAAGGGCACTAGCTACAGCTGCGAGGTCTTTCGGACGCACAGCATGGGCGGCGTTTGCTTCAGCCGCTTCCTTGGCCCCGTCGCCGCCCGATTTCTACTGGACTTTGGCGGCCGCGACCTTTACGCCGGCTTGCAGGTGATGTTGTGCTTCCTCGCCGCAGGGACGGTGTACAAAACGGTGGCCCTGGTCTACCAAGGGGGAACCCTGCTCCAGCCTGCTTCTGTAGATTCCCAGTGCCCGGGGAGTAAGTCTGAGACCTGATATGGGGGTTTATGATATTCGGGGTACCTTTTTGGGTCCTTATTTTAAGGGGGTCCTATACCATTTTCAAGGGGGTCTAGTTTCGGGGTCCCCTATTTTCGTAAACCCCCATATGGAGCTTTCTGTAAGTGAAGGCTTGAAGCCAGGTCGTATAGAGTTCCTGACTCACTCGTCACTGCATGGCAGGCGTGCAAAAAGCACTTAGTTCGGCTTTCGCGCAATGCTTTGGGGCATATTTGGGCTTAGGGACTGAAGCTCGCAACAGCAACAAAGGCTGCTGGCCCAGCAAGTGCAGACCTTTACGGTTTAGGGTTTAGGGTTTAGGGTTGGAAACCCGGCAGAGCTCGCAGGGTCAAAGGGTTTAGGGAAGAAGAGAAGAAGAGAAGAAGAGAAGAAGAGAAGAAGAGAAGAAGAGAAGAAGAGAAGAAGAGAAGAAGAGAAGAAGAGAAGAAGAGAAGAAGAGGAGAAGAGGAGAAGAGGAGAAGAGCAGAAGAGAAGAAGAGAAGAAGAGAAGAAGAGAAGAAGAGAAGAAGAGAAGAAGAGAAGAAGAGAAGAAGAGAAGAAGAGAAGAAGAGAAGAAGAGAAGAATAGAAGAAGAGAATAACAGAAGAAGAGAGGACGAGAGGACGAGAAGAAGAGAAGAAGAGAAGAAGAGAAGAAGAGAAGAAGAGAAGAAGAGAAGAAGAGAAGAAGAGAAGAAGAGAAGAAGAGAAGAAGAGAAGAAGAGAAGAAGAGAAGAAGAGAAGAAGAGAAGAAGAGAAGAAGAGAAGAAGAGAAGAAGAGAAGAAGATAAGAAGAGAAGAAGAGAAGAAGAGAAGAAGAGAAGAAGAGAAGAAGAGAAGAAGAGAAGAAGAGAAGAAGGGAAGAAGGGAAGAAGGGAAGAAGAGAAGAAGAGAAGAAGAGAAGAAGAGAAGAAGAGAAGAAGAGAAGAAGAGAAGAAGAGAAGAAGAGAAGAAGAGAAGAAGAGAAGAAGAGAAGAAGGAAGAAGAGAAGCAGAGAAGCAGAGAAGCAGAGAAGCAGAGAAGAAGAGAAGAAGAGAAGTTTAGGGTTTAGGGTTTAGGGTTTAGGGTTTAGGGTTTAGGGTTTAGGGTTTAGGGTTTAGGGTTTAGGGCGCCAGATGAAGCCTGCCCATTGCCCGTAAAGTGAAGGTCCAGATTAAATTACCGTGGCAAACTTGCCAGGCGGCTGCTGCGGACTGAGAAGTGTACATACAGATCTGTGTTCGAAGGGTGCTCCTACCATATAATATGATATGAGAATAATATATCTATATATATATATATATCTCATTTATAGATGCCGTACATGTATATATATATATATATACATGTATAGATATGCAGATATTCAGAACCAAGATGCTGCGTGACAATTTTGACACATGCTAATTCTGACGACCGTAGGCCGCCATAGCGCGATGCCAGACTATGAGAGCATGCTGGCTGAAAATGGTTGTTTAGGGGTTTTGGGTTTGGGTTTAGGGTTTAGGGTTTAGGGTTGAGGGTTTAGGCTTGAGGGTTGAGGGTTTAGGGTTTAGGGTTCCGCTTGCAAGATGGATGTACACGTATGCCGTGGGCATTTGCTGGCCGACGTACTCGCATGGTGAAGACGTGCGAGCCAGCACAACTTAATCTAGAAAGCTTTGGGCGAAATACACCCTACACATAGACCGTGAGACCTTCTCGAGTGCCAGTGAAAATTCTTCAAGGATCCGCTGGCCTTCACGACCATCGACATGGAAGGAGGTGGCAACTCCGTAATCGCCAACGCCAAGGCGCCGTCGTCGTGCTTCCCGACTCCCCAATTTGGGCTTTGTTGGTTTGGGTTTAGGGTTTCTAGGTCATAGCATCTCACTGGCACACCACGCTCAACCTTGCTCCAGCACAGTTCGCTGGTCACGTCAACACTGCACCTGACGCTCAAAAAGCATTGATAGTAAGGACCATTTCATTCCGCAAACCTCTAAAATAAGGTTATGTTTGGAGGTTGAGAATCCAATACTTAACTGTGTAGGCCCCCTAAACCCTAAATTCTTAGCAGGCCCAGGCACCATTTATCATGCGGGAGATCTTGATGTAGAAAAGCCGCACCTTGAAGCGCGACAAGAAGCAGTGTGTGCTTTGTGGGGTTTAGGCTTTGTAGGGTTTAGGTTTTAGGGTTTAGGGTTTAGGCTTTCGGGGTTTAGGGTTGAGGTTCAAGAGACGCAACTCACTGAAGTTCTCTGCAGTGGTGTTCTATTTCGTGACGCACTAAGTAAGTGCTGTATTCTAAATGGGGGCACGCAAGGAAACTGCCCAAACGACCGGGCTATTGGGAGCTGCGCTTGAAGCGCAGGATTTCGGGAAAGTAGAGTGTTGGATTTGGGCCAAGACCCCCACGCCTTCCCGTGATCATATTTTGCACTCGTTTGGCATCCGGATCAAGGTTGGTTGCAGTGCACATCTGCAACTGCCTCGTACAACTGAGCACAAGTCTGCTTACGTTCACGATGCATTCTGAAAGCCGTCTGTTCCTCAACCCTAACCCTGTCAGCTTGCTTGCAGCAAATTGAACCCTAAACCCTCGCACCTGAGTGGATGAATGGCGAAGGTCATCTAGTAGAAGCCATAGGTCCACAGGTCGCAGGAGTACTTAGAAGTAGGGTTCGAAGTGCCCTTAATAGGAAGATGACCATAATTGCCCCACTCGAAAGTAGCCCTAAACCGCCTAAACCCTAAACCCTAAGCCCTAAACCCTAAACCTAAACCCTAAACCCTAAACCCTAAACCCTAAACCCTAAACCCTAAACCCTAAACCCTAGCCCGAAACCCTAAACCCTAAACCCTTACAAGAAGCCCTCAAGCACGCAAGCATGGGGGAGCCATGCCTTCCGGGCCTCAGCATGCCGAGCCATGCCAAGGCGGTTGTATGCATCTAACGATTTAGGGTTTCGGGTTTAGGGTTTAGGGTTTCGAGTGTAGAGTTTCGGGTTTAGGGTTCAGGATTTATAGGATTTATAGGGTTCATAGGGTTAGGGTTTAGATATTTTGGGGGTTTTGGAATCTACCCCCTTAGCCGTAAACCCTAGAACATCTAAACCTTGCCCAGCACATCGGCTTCGTCCCTAATCGCTTTAGAACCCTAAGCCCCGAAGCACTAAACCTTGCCCCCACCCCCCCCTAGGGTTTAGGGTTTAGGGTTTAGGGTTCAGGGTTCAGGGTTCCCTTTCCCTTGGCCCACATTTCCAGAATGCCCATCGGGTTTATGGTTGTTGTGGGCGAGGTTTAGGGTTGAATTAGGCCGTAGGCTTCTGGGTCTAGACCACAAACCCTGCACCCTAAACCCTAAACCCCCAAACCTAAACCCTCGCAACTTCAAGTTCGAAAACCCCCTAAACCCTAGACCCCAAACCCTAGACCCTAAACCCTATAGGGGTGTTTTCTGCCCCAGGGCTCCGCGTCCTCGTGGTCGGCGCCGGTCTCGGCACCAATGCGGGCCTTGGTCTGGAGGTGTGCCGGTTCAGAGTTTGGGGGTTTTAGAGTTTAGGATTTAGGGTTTAGGATTTAGGGTTTAGGGTTTGGGGTTTAGGGTTTAGGGTTTAGGGTTGGGGCTTAGGAGGGTTCATAGGGTTTATAGGGCTTAGGGAGTTAAGGGAGTTTAGGGTGTTCAGGGGTTTGTGGTGGCACAACAAGGGGGTTTTATAGGGTCGATGGGGCTAAACTTAGAGGGTCTATAGTTCCAGGGCCTCGGATTTAGGGAGCGGGCTTCAGGGGGCGGAGGGCGTGGGGGGGGAGAGGATTTAGGGAGATTTAGGGTTGAGGGTTTAGGGTTTAGGGCGTAGGATCAAGTGATTTGTGGGCCGTATAAGTGACCTGGTCTTCGTGCCAGCATCTAAGGCTCATGTTATGCTTGGGTTCGGCATCGTATTCTGTTTCTTTGTCAATGGAGCCTAAACCATAAACCAGTGCTTCATCTTCGAGCTCCAGTAACTTGGGTCTTGCCTACACTTGGGGCGACACCCCAAAAGCAGGTACCCTAACTTCGGGAAAGCCCGACGTCTTCACGTCGGGAATTCAGGTTTTGAGGGTTTAGGGTTTAGGGTGCTTTAGGGTTTTGGGGTTTTGGGTTTAGGTTTTAGGGTTTGGGATTGCGCGGAAGTGCAAGTGCTTCTTGCAATGGAGCAATCAATGACTTCTCCCTGAGTCCACGAGTAGATGCGCTGTCTCTGCCAGGGGGGGGGGGGGGGGGTTAGGGTTATAGGGTTTAGGTTTAGGTTTAGGGTTTAGGGTTTAGGGTTTAGGGTTTAGGGTTAGGTTTAGGGTTTAGGTTTGGGTTAGGGGGGGGGGGGGGGAGCATTTAGTCGGGCTAAGGAAATATGTGCAAAGCACCCTGTTGTCGACTCTCGGTATCATGTCGTACGGCCTTTGTGTCAAGCAGATTGAGGGCTGGGAATCGCCAAAGACTCCTTCTTGCGGAAATCTAAGGTAACCCAAAGGCCGACCGTGACCCCCTTCCAATGAGCTAGCCCAAAAAAAGAGTTCAGAACTGAAGCCCGAATCCCTATAAACCCTAAGCCCGAAACCCTAAACCCTAATGTTGGATGTTAAGCAGGGGCCTCCCCTATAAAGTATAAAGTCATTTTGGCTGAGTTATTCAGGGCATCCTGACTGTTCGGGAGTCCCTGTTTAAAGTCAAACGGTTCCCGAAATCCGGCTTTTTTTTTTTTTTTAAGGATTTGGAGCTGTTTTAAAGGACTTGGGCTCGTTTTGAAGCAAGCTTTAAACCTAAAAGGCCGGGCTTTTGAATCTTAAAGGCAGGCCTCTTTTCCAAGACCCCAAAAACCCGGAATCCCAACAAAGCCGAAACCAAGAATTCCCTTTTAAAAACCATATAAAAAATTTGTCTTGATCAATCCGGCAAAGGGATGGTCCAGGAGCCAGCCCAACCTCGAAATAAACGGCACTGTCTCGGGACCCGCTTTAATGTCCTGGCCGCGGGGCCTGGATTTCAAAAAAACCATATGGACCCCTTTTAAATTCATATAAACTCATCCCAAAAAACTTCAGATGGATCCCCATAAATTCATATAACTCATCCCTTTTTAAATTCATATGGATCCCTTTTGAATTCATGTATAAACTCATCCCTTTGAAATACATATGGATCCCTTTTGAATTCATATAAACTCATCCCTTTTAAATTCACATGGTTCCCTTTTAACTTCAGATAAGCTCATCCCTTTTAAACTCTTAAGGATCCCTTTTAAATTTATATAAACTCATCCCTATTAAAATCATATAAACCACCGGGGCTGTCTAAACAGGGCAAAATCCACGCCTCGACTGTTCGGGGGGGGGGGGGGGTGCTACACTAAACAAGGTTCAACACTAAACCCGAAACCCTAAACCCTAAACCCTAAGCCCTAAGCCCTAAACCCTAAACCCTAAACCAGACAGCCTTCCTTGCGTGTCACAGAGGTTCCCTTGGCCCATGGAAAGTTCGTTACCGACGGGCGAGGGGGAGTGGTGCCAATCTCTGCCGAGGCAAGGCTTCCCAGGGTTTAGGGTTCAGGGTTTAGGGTTTAGGGTTTAGGGTTCAAGTTTTAGGGTTCAGGGTTTGTAGGGTTAAGGGTTTGCAGGGTTAAGGGTTTAGGGTTTGTAGGGTTAAGGGTTTGCAGGGTTAAGGGTTTAGGGTTTGTAGGGTTTAGGGTTTGTAGGGTTTAGGCTTTGTAGGGTTTAGGGTTTGTAGGGTTTTGGGGTTTAGGGTTTAGGGGTTTAGGGGCAGTCTTCCCTGCTTGGCCAGTTGGTCACAGGGTAACAGCGCAGCCTCAGTCAGCAGTTTTACTGCCTTTTGAAGAGGGCCGATGGTTTCCCAAAGGTCCTAGAGGGTGGGGCCCCCTAGTTATAAGTAGAGTTATAAGGGCCCTAAAGTGGGTTATAAGGACCCTAAGTTAGGTTATAAGTCCCTTAACTACAGTTAGTATAGTAAGGGGGCCCCACCCTGTAGAGGTTGGCTTTGAATCCACCGTGCTCCTGCACTGCCTTTGAATCTTGTCCCTATGCATTAGCAGCATACCCCCCAAATTACTCTAGACCCTAAACCCTAAACCCTAAACCCTAAACCCTAAACCCTAAACCCTAAACCCTAAACCCTAAACCCTAAACCCTATCCAATGGTGCAAGCCAATGCTTCAGGCGCTCGTCTGGTGAGGGCTCACTTGAGGTTTCAGTTTTGGGCCGAAAAAAGGGCTTAGGGTTGGGATGTTCCCCTTTATACTAACAGTCCTTAATTGGGATCATAGTAACCTACTATAATCCCTCTTAAGGACTCTTAGTATAAGGGGGAACATCCCAAGCTTAGGGTTTAGTTTGAGGCTCGAAGGCTTTAGTGATCGTGGCAGCTGCGCTCCCGTAAGGATTGGCCATCATGCCCCATACACCTAAACCCTAAACTCTGAACCGCAGCCCTGAACCCTAAATCCTAAACCCTGTGCCCCTGAACCCTAAACCAAACCCGAAACCCTGAACCCTGAACCCCTGAATCCTAAACCCTAAATCCTAAGCCCTAGCCCTAAGCCCTAAGCCCTAAGCCCTAAACCCTAAACCCTAAACCCTAAACCCTAAACCCTAAACCCTAAACCCTAAACCCTAAACCCTAAACCCTAAACCCTAAACCCTAAACCCTAAACCCTAAACCCCTGAACCCGAAGCCTTCAACCGACTGAGCATTGCCGAGGCTCGGCGGCGTCGCCGAGCCTTGGAAGGATCCAACTTCCCAGGCTTCATGGGGGAGGCCGGGACGATGCATGTAGGGTTTAGGGTGTAGGGTTTAGGGTTTAGGGTTTACGGTTTAGGGTTTAGGGTTTAGGGTTTAGGGTCTTCCTTGGAGGTTCATGGGTGCATTGCAAGCGGGGTTATAAGTGGGGTAACTTATATTTGGGCTACTTAGAACCTTACCAAAAGAAGTACCCATGAACCTTCAAGCATGAACCAGCATGGGTGTTTTGGGCCTTAGACGCCCCCTTATCCACCTCATGAAGGGCTTGTTTTAGGGGCTCATAGGGTATACCGCCCATACTGGTAGGTCAACATTGCGGCACCATCTTCTTCAGTATTCCAATGTTGCTGTTAAGGGCTTGAAGTGTACAGAAGGTAAACCCTAAACCCTAAACCCTAAAACCCCAAACCCCAAACCCTAAACCCTAAACCCTAAACCCATTGGAGTCTGCTACGCTCCTGCGTGCTTGGAGGTTCATGGCTCGTGTGTACTTATAAGTGGGGCTACAAGCACCCTAATTGCTCTTACGACCATGCACGTGAGCCTGAAAGTAGACCCCAGAGCCCCTAAACCCTAAACCCTAAACCCTAAACCCTAAACCCTAAACCCTAAACCCTAAACCCTAAACCCTAAACGCAAGTTCCAAGACTTGAAGATAGAAGCAGGCGTTCTTCTACTCCTGGGAGCGCCACTTGGCTCAGCCGCTGTTGCCCTTGCCTTCCCCGATTGCACTCAGCTGCTTCCCCACTCATCTGCCAACCACTAACAATGCACCCGTTTTAGGGTTTAGGGTTGAGTTTAGGGTTTAGGGTTTAGGGTTTAGGGTTCAGTTTAGGGTTTAGGGTTTAAAAATTTGGGGTTAGGGGTTAGGGGTGTAATTAGGGTTCAGGGTTTAGGGTTTAGGGAGCAACAGTTATTTGGCTCGCCCAGGCGAGGCGGGCTACTTGGGCAACGCAGGCTTCATCTACGGAGCGCTTCTTCGGGATGCCTCACTTCAGGCGGAAACCCTGTTGGGGTCTAGGGTTTAGGGTTTAGGGTTTAGGGTTTAGGGCTTAGGGTTTTCAACCGACACGGCTTGTACGGATGCACTACTTGGAGGTTCATGGGTAATGACCCTCGTAAAACTAACCATGATCTTTAAGTACAGGCTGTGCGGCAGGCTGGCGAAAGTGCCACCTAAAACTCAGATGCTGTTGTCTCCTCAGGCCACGATCCCCTCAGTCTACCTGCCAAAAGCCATCAACGATTTCCCAGAAGGCTGAACTTAGCCAATATTGGAACGTTAACTTTTCGGGCCTCCTCATTGAGTAGGAATAATAAAGCTTAACCTTTTACACGCCTTGCTTATTGGAGAAGTAAGAACCTGTGCAAAGGTGGACATGCTCCAGCATGCGGTGTGCGAGGCGAGTGGCACGAATCGGTAAGGTTTTCGGGCGCGCGCTCTTCTTTTTTTGAGAATCTGATATCGCACTCAGGGTTTAGGGTTTAGGGTTCAGTGGCAGTTTTGAAGAGTCGGGCTGCCCTAGGTTTTGTGGCCCGGTGTCTTCCACTTTTTGTGCAGCTTGATTTGGGAATTACACACTGCAACGGACATCCTTTTGTGGTGACCAACCACCGCTTCTTGTCTCGCAGAAGTCGAACATCGACTCAAGACATCTCAGAGTACAGATCATCATCGGAGCCATGGAAGACCAAGAGCCGCTGATGGAAGACCAGGAGTCGCTGATTGAGAGACCGCCGGAGGTGAATTTCCAACGCCGTGGCTTCATGACCGTCCTCCTAGCCCTGGTTGCGGGTGCCTCCTTGGCACTTTGCTCTATCGCTTCGGAGCCGAAGCTCCGTCAACAAGCTGGGGACTTGCCAAGTGAAATTGTTGTAAAAGCCGAAGGCGGTGGCATCGAGACAGAAGCGACTGGCAGTGGAAATCAAGCTCGGCATGATGTGAATGCACAAAAGCAGACCATTATTCAAACGATTTACCAGGTGGCCCCAAAGAACGCCCCGCAAATCTCAGAGTGCACAGTGGTGAAAGCAACCCATGACAAGATCACCTTCCACGGCAGTGGCGATGAGGGGACTTTCATCAGCTACAGCGTCCCGAAGAACTTCGAGGGCAAGTTTTACATCAAGCACAAGCCTGTGACCAACGTCAAGGACTTGCCCAAATGTCTTGCCAAGCTGTGGCTGCGAGATCCAGGTTTAGGAGGTGATGTGAGTCTTGGTAGGCCAGTGGTACCCTTTACCCGTTTTTGGGGCTTCTGGTTTCCCGTTTAATATAACCAACCCCAAAAAGGGTGCCCTTGTAATAATCAAGTTACTGGGCTACCAAGGAGTGATCTGCCGAAGGCTCTGACAAACCTCAGTTTGCCAGGGCAACCATCTGAGAACTTGCCGTATTGGATGCAGCAGAAGGAGCTCCAGGGAGATGTCCGTGACTTGCCGCCTCTGCTGCGATACCTGGACCTCGAACACACGTCACAGCCGATCACCGGCAACGTCCGTGACCTGCCGCGAGGCCTCGTCCATTTGCATCTGCCCTACGCGTCGCACTTCACAGGGTGGCTGGGCGGCCTCCCAAGGAACCTCCGCTACGCCAACCTTACCATACCAGCCGTCCAAGGCGACACCCAGCAGCTACCCAGGAGCCTGACTGTTGCGAACTTTTTCTTCGCCACCAGCATCCATGGCGATGTGAAGTATCTTCCCAGAGGCCTTACGTGGGCAGGCTTTGACCAAGCCAATATCACAGGCCTCGTCGACGGCCTCCCAAGGAACCTCCGCTACGTCGCCCTCGGCGCCGAAGTCTTCGGACTGGCATCCATGGCGACGTGAAGTGCTTGCCCAGAGGCCTTGCGTGGGCAGATTTCCGCAGAGCCGAGCTCGAGGGGCGGATGAAGGACCTGCCACAGCACTTGACAATTGCACGTTTCGACAATAGCGAAGAGATTGAGGGAGACCTCGCGGAGGTGCCCAACCAGAAGCAATTGAAGTGCAAGAGAAGACCCGAACGCTGGGGTGGTGGCCATGGGTTTTTTTGCTTCCAGAGGGGACCATACTCTCACCCCGTATCTTAAGCCCTAAGCCCTAAACCCTAAACCCTAAACCCATCACTTCCTGGTTTCACTTGCGGCCACCCTGCAGTCACAGACTAGCAGCGAAGAACTGGTTCATACACCTTACAGGACTTTGTGGTGCTATACTGTATTTTTCGATCCTTAGTATCCTTGGCCTTTTTGGGTTTATTGGGCTTCTTAAGTTAAGGCAGCTAAAAAATTTGATTTAGAGCTACCTTCCTAAGTGCAGCCAAGTCTTGAATTCACCCGTTAGCCACCAAGGCCTTCGAAAGGGATCGATCCAGGGTTGGCAGCCAACGCAGAGTAGGGTTTAGGTTTTAGGGCCTAAATCCCCTAAGGTTTCATGAGAGTACCTTTAGATCTTCAACTTTCTCATACTCTATAGTGTCATTCCTGAAACGTGGGCCGAGAAGCTGAGTCGCCTGCTCTAATTAGTCCTTCTGTCAAGAGTGCAGGGGGATTGGGGGCCTGGCTGTCACGAGTACAGGGGGGCTTGCAGGGCGGCCTTGGCTCAGAGGGGATGTTATCGAGGCGGGCGAAGTCTCTTGGAAAAAAAGGGATTTAGGGGTTAGGGGTTTGGGTTGGGGGTTGGGGTCTAGGGTTTAGGGCTTGGGGTTTGGGGTTTAGCGTTTAGGGTTTAGGGATTAGGGCGGGAAGACTCTACTAAGGGGCAACATCCCAAGGTTGGCCACTCAGGTTACAAGCTCGGTAGGATCTTGGGACATTTTTTCCCTTATTGGGTTTAAGAGGACTCTTTTTAGGAATATTTTTCAGAGGGCTTTGAGGGCCACCCTAGCAAGAGATCGAGGATGCCCGGTAGTACCCTTATTTCTTTTTTTTTTTTTTTTGGGGGGGGGGGGGGGGGGGTAGGTAAGCCCCTAAACCCTAAACCCCAAACCCTAAACCCTAAACCCTTTTTAATCCTAGCTTACTGGGCGACCTAGAAAGGCAGCGCGAGAGGGGTTGTTTGGGGGCTGAGGTTTAAGGTCTAGGGCTGAAAAGGGTTTCGGGTTCCTCTAGGGCACCCTTAAACCCTCAAACCCTAAACCCTAAACCCTAAACCCGAAACCCTAAACCCTAAACCCTAAATCCTATAAACCCTAAACCCTATAAACCCTAAACCCTAAACCCAACCTACAGCTCGTCTGCCTTATTGGGAAAAGCTCCTCCAGGCCGAGGCAAGAAGCTCCTCAACCAAGAAGCTCCCACGTCCCTGACCGGGGTTTAGGGTTTAGGATTGAGGGTTTAGGGTTTAGGGTTTAGGGTTTTGATACCCCTAAGCCCTATGCACCCTCAACCCGAAACTCTATAGAGCCTTGGTTACGCGACATCATGGATGTAGGCCGGAATGGAAGTCCCAGGGAAACCCTAAACCTAAACCCGCTGCAGCCTAAACCCTATGCGCCCTAAACCCGAAACCCCAAACCCTAAACCCTAAACCCTATGCACCCTTCACCCCCTAAACGCTAAAGCCAAAACCCTAAACCCCACACCCTCAACCCCAAACCCTAAGCCCTAATGCAATGTGGACGTTCAGTTCAGCTAGGCGGGCGGCAAAAACCCTCTAAACCCTAAACCCTAAACCCTAAACCCTAAACCCTATCAACCCTAAACCTTAAACCCTATGCACCCCCCAAAGCCCCCCAGGCGGACCGCGAGGCGGCACTGTCCTTCCTTCGCACCCAGTCAGCCGACGCCGAGGCTCACCTCTAGGGTTTAGGCTTTAGGGTTTGGGTTTAGGGTTTAAGGTTTAGGGTTTCGGGTTAAGGGTTTGGGGTTTAGGGTTTCGGGCTTAGGGTTTAGGGTTTAGGGTTGGCTTCAGGTAAATGGTTTTCTAGGGCTTTTAGGATTTATGTTTGGATTTGGGGTTTTTAGTTTTCGGGTTTCGGGTCTAGGGGTTTTTAGGATGTATGCTCCATTACTTGGGTGTAGGGACAGGGCGCATACGTAAAGTTTGGGACCTTAGGGTTTAGAGGGTTTAGGGTTTAGGGTTCATAGGGTTAGGGTTTAGGGTTTAGGGTTTAGGGTTTAGGGTTTAGGGTTTAGGGTTTAGGGTTTAGGGTTTAGGGTTTGTAGGACTTACGGGGCTTGTGGTGCTTATGACAGGGCTCAGTGTCTAGTCTAGGCAACATATTATACGACCCCCTCAGGATGGAGACTCTATAGGCCCTGCACCCTAAACCCTAAACCCTAAACCCCAAACCCCAAACCCTAAACCCTAAACCCTAAACCCTGAACCATTCATCGCTCCGCTTTAGATCCACTTGTCCCATGCTTTCTTTCGTCCAGAGTGTCAGCTATGCGGTTCCCTAAACCCTAATACCCTAATACCCTAATACCCTAATACCCTAATACCCTAATACCCTAATACCCTAATACCCTAATACCCTAATACCCTAATACCCTAAACAGACAGAGAGAGAGAGAGAGAGAGAGAGAGAGAGAGAGAGCTGAAGCCCTTAAAGCCCTAAACCCCTAAACCCTAAAAATCCCTATGGAGGTGGCTGTTGCAGAGGGAGCTGGATGCGCCCCCCTTCGTGCTAACAGTCCTTAGTCGGGCTTCTAGTAGCCCCAATTATAATCCCAATTTTAAGGACTTGTTAGAAGAAGGGGGAACATCCCAATCCCTGAACCCTAAACCCCAAACCCTAAACCCCAAACCCCAAACCCCAAACCCCAAACCCCAAACCCCAAACCCCAAACCCCAAACCCTAAACCCTAAACCCTAACCCTAAATCCGTAAATCGTTTCAGGAGGGGCTGCGACGGAGCATCCTCGAGGAGGCCCAGGTCTGGATCTCTGCGATTTCATGTCAGCGGGATTGGCGGGTTTAGGGTTTAGGGTTTATGGTTTAGGGATTAGGGTTTAAGGTTTGGGGCCTTTGTTAGGGGGCTGGGTGCGAAAGGTTGGCCCTGTCTCTTTGTAGGTTGCTCTCCCCTAAGAAAACGGCCAGCATTGCCAGCTTGCACACCTCCTAAATTCCTAAACCCTAAACCCTAAACCCTAACTAAACCCCAAACCACACCGAGCTGCAAGAACAAGTAGCCCAGCCCCCCAACCTCCGAAACCATAAGCTGAAACCTTACAGTAAACTACTATTTTCCGAAGAACCACCAAAACATAAGAATGTTCTTCCTTGCAAGGCCAATATGGGGATGATTCTCATTTTCCGAAGGGGGGGGGGGGGGGGGGGGGCGGCGGGGCTTCTTGAGCAAATAGATGCACACCCTCAACCCTCCCAAACCTCAAACCTCCCAAGAACCTGAGCCCGCCTTTGGAATGATGTTTAGATATCTTGAGCTTGCACAAAGAACTCAGTGGCATAAAGTTTTTTTTGTTTGGGGGCGGGGAGGTTGGGGGAGGGCGGGGGAGAGGGGTGTGGAGAAAGCGTGGCTGCTTTGTTGCCTTGGTTGCTTTGGGGAACGTCAGCCGTATAGAATTGCCAGGGCTGGGGGATGTGCCATGTGAGGTTTACGGTATTTAGGGCGTAGGGAGGGTTTTTGGGTTTAGGGTTGGGATGTTCCCCCTTCGTCAAGGGCCTAACTTCAATTTTTAAACCCTCAACCCTAGACCACGCAAAAAACAAGAGGAACCTTAGTTGCAACCTGGGCTTCGGGTCTAGGGTTTGGGGTTTAGGGTTTTAGGGTTTAGGTTTTAGGGTTTGGGGTTTAGGGTTTGGGGTTTAGGGTTTAGGATTTAGGGGATTTAGGGATTTAGGGTTTAGGGTTTGGGGTCCTTTGCTTGGGCAGGCTCTTCGCTCCCATGGTCGCTGCGCGACGTATGCAGCATCGCTGAGAACCCTGCTGGAGTCAGGCTTGCGGCACGGCCAAGGATTTAGGGTTTAGGGTCTGGGGTATAGGGTTTAGGGTTTAGGGTTTAGGGTTTAGGGAGGTTTGAGGAAGGTTTTAGGGTTTGTTTAGCGACTAGGGTTGACAGAGGGATTCGGGTTGCTGGAAGGTTTTGCGTTGTTTAGGGATGAGGCCTGATGGAGGGTTTAGGGTTTGTTTGGGGGTTCGGGACCCTGCACCCTAAACCCTAAACCCTGAACCCTGAACCCTAAACCCTAAACCCTAAACCCTAAACCCAAGTGCTGCCTGACGATGTGGCCATGTTCCAACGCAAAACATCTGCATCAGCCGCTCAGCCAATTAACTCCAGCTTCTTTGAAGGACCTGTCAGCTCATGCTTGTGCGCCACTAAAACCAGAAAGACAGATAGAGAGAGAGAGAGAGATTAATCCAGAAAGAGAGAGAGAGAGAGAGAGAAACAAAAAAAAAAAAAGAAAAACACGAAAGGGAGACAGGGAGAGAGGGAGACAAGGGGGAGGGAGGAGAGAGAGGAGACAAGCGAAACACCAAAACGAGAGCCGAGTCTGGTGCGTCTTGTTTTCCCAAGCCGACTATTTGCCTAAGGACTCCCCCCCTAAAAAAAGATACTGTTCCTCATAAGGGCAAGATAGTTTTTTTGTTTTATACTTTGTTTTGGGATTCTTAGCAAGAAACCCTAAACCCTAAACCTTAAGCAAATAGTAGAAGCTCAAACCCTAAACCCTAAACCCTAAACCCTAAACCTTAAGCAAATAGTAGAAGCTCAGGTACAGCGTCGTCCTTGCCGGCTCCAAAGGGATCTGTCAACTTCAGGCTGCTCTTGAGCAGCGCGTCTCAACGCAAAACCCTTGCACAGCAAGCCCTAACCCTAAACCCAAAACCCAAAACCCTAAACCCTAAGCGGGCTTGAGACGGATTCGGGTGCGGGGGA